TTGACTTGACTTGACTTGACAAAAGGGAATATGCATTGTTTACACACTCAGAAATAAAAAGCCTTCTATAATTTGATTAAGAAAATAAATTGTATAGATTTTTGGGTGTTTTTTAAGTGTATTGTTATATCCTGAGTTCCTCATAATGATGAACCTACACAGAATTATCACCTGAATCTGCAGCTTTATGCTTTATAGTTGCGAGTTTCAGCTCATTGTTTAGCTGTCTGCTCATAACTTAACTGTTCTAGTTTACTCTCACCGCTCTTATAGCATTGTGTTCAGCCACAGCAGGCAGATGTTGTCAGTGACAAAGCTTTAAAAATCCACTGTAGATCCACTTACCGCTCTGTGCCAAACAGCAGAAAGACACAGTTAGAGACTATAGCTGGTGATCATGGTGGAGCATTTAGCAGTTAATATTTCCCACAGGAGTTGGTAGAGACCAAAACAGAGCTAAAAGGAGTATTGAACTTGAAACATGACCCCAAATGAATGCTAATGTTGTGCTGTAAAACAGACATTTATATGGTGATAATCTTGTGTTGTTATGTGTCATGATCATGCTACAAATGTCATTTTTAATAGAGACACTGCATGAGATCTGGCCCTAACCCAATTTTTTCTCGGTTTTCCCTGTGATTTGATTATTTAAAAGTTCTATTCACTTTAACCGTATTATAGATTATTTTTGTAGCTTCTGTTCCATTTACAAACTTGATGTGCTAGTCATACTATCATGTTACACATATTATCATATTATAATAAAACAAACACTATACATATGCATACATTATGGAGCATAATCTTTATACGGACATAATACACCATTTGTTGACTAGTTTATTTGATTTGTCAAATGTAAATGTATTAATTTGCACTGTGAGTTACAATACTTTACTTATAGATTTGAAGACTTTTCCACCACAGTTCCCCCTGAAGTTGTTGCATGCTAATCTACAATATTTTCATGTAGTAAATATCATTCATAATATTACTGAAAACCAATTCGTTAAAATCTATTTTGCAGTTTTATTGTCCCACAAAGGCCGACTGCACGACTGTCTGTCAAGTTTGTTGCCCTTTTAGGCCACACCCACCGCAGTGACGTCAGATCGCATACTGTCCATCAGCGTTTCAAGTTAGAGAAGAGGAAAAGTGAGGCACTGTAGGCTGCGCCATGGATGCACCGCTACATTAATTTATAAAAACAATCGCTCCACCCTCACTTTGCTGCATCACATGGTTTCGATGGAAGCTGCTTTTCTGTATATAAGACCGGAGAAACGGTACGGTGCCTCAGGGTGCCCGCAGCACGTCAAGACCACCGTGTTTTGAACCGCTTTTAAAGGGGCAGCACCCGGCTCACTTCATCACCTCACAAATCATCATGGCGGACTCCAACCTAACACCCCTTTCTCGGGCTTTGTCTCGGACATCAATGGAGCTGCCAGAAGAGTTTTCGCGAAGTATCAATCCGCCCCGAATGAGAAGGTTGCCGAGCTGCAATTCGATTGAGTGCGTTGACCCGGTGACTTCACCCTCCGCAGAGGCCCGTGTCCTGGTTATCAACACCGGAGGAACTATCGGGATGACACTTCACGATAACGGTAGCTTACTATGGCTAACTGAACTCCCTGTACTGTTATGTTTCTGTCCTGTAACCCCTGGGGGCAGTTTACTAGCACAGCAGGTAGCTTGTGGTTAGCATGTTGTTCTCGTGTCGCTGTGAGTTAAGACACGGAGCACCGTTAAAGCCCTGCGTGTAAACAGCCAGGTGACAGGTGCGTCTTAAAATAGTGCCGCAAACAGCTTAACTAACGTTACACAGCCGAAAGCTAGCTGACAGCTGTTAGTAAGATAAATGAAACTACGTTGGTATACACAGGAGCAAACTGCCCCACTGCTGAAACCAAATGTGAAATGGTCCATTGACTCAGTGATGAACAGAACCACTACATTTGGCCACATTAAAATAAATGGAAGTTGGGAGGCAATGCTAAAGGCACTACTGTATAATCTGCCCCCCCCATGTAGTTGGGGGCGACATCAAAGATTCTCTCAATGAATAACTACATGTTGACTTGAGGTATTGGGTAACATCTGGAGCAGGTAGTGAGATAAAATAACATTCAAAGGTCCCACCAGCTACAAGTCCATTTCTCCTAGCCTCCTGCGTCCTCATATGGGGACAAAGCTTTATAGTAAATAAAGTATGAGGACATTTTTTTTGTTGTTGTGAAAACTACTAATTGTTCAAATACAATGCTTGTTTTTTATGTTTATTGGGTCCTACTAATCCCAAATAGCTGGGAGAAATTAAAAATGCACACCAAACAAAAGCTTGGGTCTCAGGAGGCTAGGCCACCCATCAGTGTTTCACTCACGCTGTATAAATACACTCTTATTTACTTATTCCTAACTCATTTACTTTACTGTAGTATTTTGTACTAAAACGTTATTGTTATTGTAGACTTATTATTGTGAATCGCCCTTTCACCAAGTACGGTTAAATGTGGATGTGTATCAGCCCATATCCATACACTGCGATCATCCATTTTTAGCCATGTAGTCAGTCAGTCATTGAGCCATAAGATAAATATCTTGACAACTGCTTATCGTGGAATTTGGAAACTACATGACCAAACAGAGGCTATGTCGCAGTTCCTGAAACATGAGTTGAGCCTACTTTGGTTCTTTTCCTGTGTTTACTTTGTGTGCTCTAAAGTTTTTCTTGCATGGCCTTGACCCCCCTTTATTGGTCCTCTTAGCAAAGTCTCCCTATGTTTCTGTCTTGAAATCTAAAGGGAACTTTCTTGACGTCTTCAGGGCTTACAGTCATGTGGCTGTCAGGCGCCACGTGTCGTCTATCATTTAAAATGACATGAAGAATTTCTGCTGGCGTCGATTCAGAGCGCCCAGAACCACAGCTCCTCTACAGCAGCAGTGGTGCCGTGTCCACTCTATTCACTGTTCTTTACTTTTGGTTATAGATTTGAGAAGTTCACTGGCCTAAAAACATACAATGTATGTAAGAATCACAACTTTTTCAGCCCCTGTAACAATGCTATTTCTTACATTTACCACTAGGGTTCAGTATGAGACTGACGTGTGGTGTTGTGATTGATTGTAAATCCCCTGCACTATTCTCCTACTACTACTGATACTGATTAACAGTAATCCCACTGAGGGCGTGCTATGAAATAATACCCACTAATAATAACCACTTTTTCCCCTATTCCTGTAACCCACAGTGCTTGCCCCAAAAGCAAATGCGTTTGTGAAGCAAATGCGCAAATTGCCTGTCGTCCACGATGAGCTGTATGCCCAGCAGACTCGCCTGTATGACTACTATGGCTCCGAGAACACCCTGGTCCTCCCGTAAGTGCACCCAGAATTCCTTGTTACTCAGTCAGCACATAGCTAACTTTATTCACAAAAACATCCAGCGTCAGCCTACGTTCTGCTCTTTACCAGGGTTGCACGATATGGTAAAAAAAAAGATACTGATATGAGTGAAAAATCTGCTTGATGTGGCATCTGGTGGGGTCTTATTATTGCGTAACCCTACTCTTCACATTCATATGCTGTTGTCTACGGAGTGTAAGGATTGTTGTTCTGACATCTTGTAAACTATGTGTAATAGCTGTTGTGTTTTTGTGTTGTTTAAATTAACGTTTCAAAGGGCACAAAATACTTGTTTACATATAATTATAATTTATAATTGTTTAAAGTTAGCGTTACAAACACGAATTAACCTTATTTACCAGTGTCACAACCACTTGCATTTATTTAGTTCCTTTGCCAATGTGTTTAATTGATATTTAAAGTAACATATAATTATCTGATACCGGGAAGATCATGTGAGCATCATGTCAGCTGTGATCACAGGCGTCATCTCTTCCTGTCCTTCACCAAAATACCTAAGGAAGGCCACCACATCCCCTTTGACTTCTAGGACCACTTGTCTTAATGACAAAAATCTAATCTAAAGTACAATTTAATGTAAAGCTATTGTCCTAGAAAGCTCAACCAGGCCTAAATCACATTGTTTCTACAGTATGTGAAATAATATCTATGCTTGTTGGATCTTTTTTGCATGGGAGATTGGTTGTACAGGCTAAATAATGTTAGAATTGATTAACACTGCACCATTATAAGCATTGTCTACTGTACATTAGTACAGTTGTCATTAATGGTCTTCATACAGTGCAAGATATCCTATTTCATATCAGAAAAAGCAGAGACTAAATGAAAACAACTCACTCTCCTCCTTGTAATGTTTTTAATGACTCTAAAATTCCTTTTGTTGCTCTAACAGGAAGCCAACGCCCCATTCTGACCGTCTATTTCACGGGTGCTGTAGCATTGTGTGTGCCTCCATAGTGCTTGAGTGGTTTGATGTCTCTGCTGTACTTAAGACCAAATGTTAGGGTGTGCTTGCCTGACGGGATATGCATGCCTACGTGGCCTCTGGCAGTAGGAGAAAATACCAGGAAGGATATAGGAGCGCATGTGTATTGCTTGAAGTATTTTTGTGTCTCTCTGCACTTGCTAATGTCACCACTGTCACAAACAAGCTAGCTGGTTCAATGTGAGGAGTAGCCCAGCTGAGATAGCCCTAATGTGTCTTGGCGGTTTAGTTTGTGAAAAGCCGCTTGTTGGCCTGCTGGGGAGAGCAATACTAACCTACTCTTTTGCACGTTTGATTCTTATTGTCTTGATGTCTGGAACATATGATATGGAGCAGTGTGAGTGTAGCTTGTGGCAGGCCTCCCAGCTGATCAGCTGTCTCGGTAGGGTCCCAATTTGCAGTAATAGTGGGGAGGCCTCTTCCAGAAACGTACCCGTAGTCGCTAATTTCCATACCCCCCTCTTGGCTGCCACTGTGAAGTAGGCTGGGCGCGAGGGTGGAGTGGGATGTATGGTAAACATAAGACATCCATGCATTAAAACCTTGAGGCTGATTGTATGTGAGCAGGTTGAAATGTGTTTGTTAGGCTTACAAAAATGATTTTGGGGAGCTGTTCAATTTGAATGTCTTACACCTCAGCTTTCCCCACACCATCAGCAAGTACACAAGAGCTCCCTGTTTGCTCATTTGCTGCTTGATAAATGTCTTAAATGATCACTTCATTTGGACTAATATTAAACCTTTGCTAACTGAATATGTGAGCATGTTCTTATTAAATTCACTAATATCTTTGTAGGTGTTCTGCATGATTTACTTCTTCATATTTGCTCATCCTTGAGTTGGGGTACTGTTAATACCAACTGAAGTATGCTAATAAGCAAGTCTAATGAGCATACTGTTGATTGTAGCCCAGCCTCTGTTGAAGGAGGGAATTAGTTTATTGATTTATTGAAAAGCTTTATTCATGTGATGTTGAGAGGCAGCACCGCAAGGCCATTTGCACCCCACCTCCAACCTTCTTCTTCCACTTCTTGAGTTCCCAATCACAGACATATACACACACATTAATTATTCTTAAGCTATGAGGCATCTTAACACGGGTATGCTAATGTAAGGCTTTGCTACACCTTAGGGTACGCTGCCAGATAGATAAATAATTGGTGATTTGAATAGTGTTTTCTTGTGGCACTTTGGCTTTAAGATTATCAACAACATATGTTCGAGGGTCGTGTGTGGACTTAAGGCTAATTAGAAGAGAGTGTGTAGGCCCCCTGGTTGGGTGGACTGGGGCTTGCTCGGTCGTCCCCCTGCTGTTCCATTCAGCTCCTATCTCCATGTTATAAGGCTGCCCTATGGTAATGTGGGGGGTGTCCCAGCCTGTTTCTTTAAAAGGGAGATTAAAAAGAAAATCTTTCCATGGCTGTTTAGCCCGTCACACTGCTTTATACAGAGTGTCGCAGGTGGGGCCGTGGGGTGCCCGAGTTAAACTCCACTTTGAGACTACATAAATATGTTTACATGCAAGGCTCTCTGCCTTGTCATTGGCATGGAAAAGAAACCCTTTGCTCTAACCTGGAATGACTCACCAAAAAACCTTAAAGATACAGTATATCAAATCAGCCACCTTATGTCCCTCAGCTTTGCCTTTATTTACAATACACAGTGGTAAAGTTTAACAGAACATCAGGGCTTGACAGCGGAAAAGAAAAATGGCACATTGCTGCTCTCGTTATTTGTATGCTTACCATGCCCTTCCCTTTTACACTTCAGAATTCTCTCTGTGTGTGTGTGTGTGTCTTAAACAGGTTTTGGCACCATGCTGCTGAGACAGAAGGCCTTGCCAAATAGACTTTGTCTCGCTTCATAAAGTCAGCTTGGTTTTTAGCATTCCCCTACCCTTCTCTAAACTCACTTCTCAAATTTAACCAGAACTTAATCCTACTTTGTTACATGAGCACAATGAAGACAATCATTTGTCACAGTAAAGATAATACTCATTTCTTTAACCATGTGTCCTTTATGTGTTTTGGAGTGATGTGTGCACTAACCAAGACTGATATTCACATTTGGCTGCCCTGTTTTGGTTTTTGTATATATGATAATTCAATTTATGTATATAATGCTAGAAACTAAATAAACTTCTCTGTCTTCTAGGCTGAGTAAAGACAATAAGAGGATAATCTACACTATCTTAGAGTACAAGCCTTTGCTTGACTCCTCCAATATGACAACAGATGACTGGGGTAGAATTGGAAAGGACATTGAGGTATTTGCTGACTCCATTTCTAAATAAACATAATTTATGCTTTTAAAAGTGAGGCATCACTTAATCCTATAATATTCATGTTGCTCATAAAATCTAGCGTAATATGGTAAAGAATCATATTAATGTTGTCCTCTAAACTCTTTTTTTGTTGTCTGACTCCAGAAAAACTACGAAAACTATGATGGATTTGTGATCCTTCATGGCACAGACACTATGGCTTACACAGCCTCTGCCCTGTCTTTCATGTGTGAACATTTGGGCAAACCAATCATTCTCACCGGCTCACAGGTAAGAGCTGCTGTCTTCAAGGGTCCAACAAACAATATTTCTGTAGCATTTTAAGTATTTACCTCCCTCATAAGATAAGGCACGTTCTGTCTTTAGGTTCCTATCTATGAGATGAGGAATGATGGCAGAGACAACCTGCTGGGGGCGCTGCTGATTGCTGGCCAATTTGTGATTCCTGAGGTGAGGAAATGGAGATGGGCAATACAGTACATGCTACTCACCAACATGTTATTATATTATTTGAGAAATGTAATTTGGCTCTCTCAAAGAACAATAGTCAGGAATTGCTGGAATGTGAGAGAGAAACAATGGATCTGAAGCTGTGATGATCACCAGTAATGGCTTTCTTTTATGAGCTTTCAAGATTTAATGTGTTGATTAATGAATTCTAAATAAAAGTAGTCCTATAATATTATTAACCCATATATTTGTTAATGTGTTAAGAAAATATGCTTGTGGTCTGTAAAGACAGGTGACAACACTGTTTGCAGGTAACAAAAGCTCTCCTAAACGGCTCGTCTGATGAGAATGTATTCTAACTAAAGCGTTACGCAATACTGAACAACAATTACAATAACAGAAAGAACACTGAGAAGTATAAAATGTGTCTGTACGTAGACATTAGACCGAAGTGCAGTAACATTCGTGTCCAACTCCATTGATGGAGTGTACTAAAAACGCCTGTGGTGTTAAAGGGATTTTGTCAACTGTTGTGCATTCAATATACCTTTTGTCTCTATTCAGGTGTGTCTGTATTTCTACAACAAACTCTACAGAGGGAATCGTGTGACCAAGGTGGATGCTGGGAGTTTCAATGCGTTCTCCTCTCCTAACTTGGCTCCTCTGGCCACTGCTGAAGTGGATATTACAAGTAAACCAGCGGTGTAATGTGTCTGTCACTTTTCTTCAGATATCCAGAAGATGTGTTTTTTTTTATTTGTTTTTTTCCCCACCTTTTCCTTTAGTTAACTGGGATACAGTGTGGAGGGCAAACACCACAGCAAAGTTTCAAGTCAGCACCGAGCTGAACAGGAACGTGGGCCTGCTCAGGCTGTTCCCAGGAATCACTGCTGCTACTGTAAGTCGCGCAGCCTCACAACTGAAACAGAGATGTTTATTCTGTCACTGTTAGTCACCTAAAACCTAATGACAAGAGGTGACTTGTTTTCCTTCGTCTTTGGTTGATGTCACACACAACAGAATAGTGAATAGATTTGACTTATATGTCCAGACTCCAGTCACAAGGAATCACATTACATTTCATTATCTGCTTTAAATATTATTATTATTATTATTGTTTGCATAATCTTAAAATTACTATTTTACAAAGATTATATCATTCCATTATTAATGGGTAATTACATAATCTCACCTGCACCAAATTATATTTGATCAGACAACAAGCCTCAAGCTCTTTAAGCCACCTCCTCAGTCTAATAAAATGTAATTAAAGATGTGTTCTTCAAAGGTAACTGACTGCTCAAAACTGTTGTTTTGTCTAACTGCAATAAAATATAGTTAACTTTGATTTAATTGTGCTATTACCCGTCTTCTGTTACCTTCCCGGTCATGTAATCTGCCATCAAAGCTCAGCCCAGAGAAAGATGAGAAGGAGTTATGGGCCATGACCAATCACCCTGTAAAGAGGGAGGATTGGCATAGATACTGTAACATTTAGCTGCACCTCCCCCTGCAGAGGCTGCTGGGAGACTGGCTTTACTGTCTCAATCTGCTCCCACTGCCCAACTCGGCTATCAAGACTTCCTTAAAGCCTTTAACTGCCTTTATGAGGCACCGTTTTGATTAGGCACCAGGCCCTCGTGTGCCCACCGCCTCAGCTGTATAAGAGCTTCATTCATCTGCTTCAAACATTACCTGTCAAAACTGCTTATCACATCAAAAAATACTGACTGAACCTGGCACTTTTAATGTCACCTTCTTCTCACGTTTTATGGTAACTGCCTTGGTCTTGCCAAGTGACTTTATGCTTGCTAACACCTTCAGATTAATTGCTCTCCTTCCTGCCATTTCAGTCATCTGCCATTCCAGTCATATGCCATGGCTAATGATGTGGTATAGGGCCTCCTGGTGCCAGCCAACCAGTGACTGAGATACTGGTTGCATAGACGGCACCAGATGGGCTTTTAGGAGATTGGATGGTCTCATGCAATGGAGTGAAAGATGCTGCGGGAAAAATAACATGGAATACTAATTCCTCAATTTGATTCTACACAGTTGAGCAGCCATTTCAGTTAGCCATAAATTGTTGGAGTTTGTAATGTAAATCGTTGGTATATCTGTGTCCAGGTGAGGGCTTTCCTGCAGCCGCCCATGGAGGGTGTGGTCCTGGAGACCTACGGCAGTGGAAATGCCCCCGATAACCGTCTTGACCTGTTGGAGGAGCTGAAGAAGGCCACTGACTCTGGTGTCATCATCATCAACTGCACCCAGTGTCTGAGGGGGACTGTGTCTGCATCTTACGCTACTGGCAAGGTGCGTCACATCACCCACTAGTCAATCCTGACCCACTTTTTTAGACTATAGAACTGATGGATCAAATCACATATTCCTATGACTTCTCAGGTGTTGATTGATGCAGGGCTGATAGCTGGTGGAGACATGACTCCAGAGGCGGCCCTGTCAAAGCTGTCCTACGTTTTAGCCAAGAAAGATCTCGATCTAGCTGCCAAGAAAAAGGTTGGTCTCTACATACATCACTTTTACCACTTTATTCCCTGTAGAGAGAGTTTTTAGAGTAACTGGATAATAATAGATGACACAATCCATTCAAGCAAAAAATGAAGCCCCAGGTGTAGTGTGAATGAAAATCCTTAACAAAAAAGTGAAGCCCAGGTGTGTGTTTGTGTGTGTGTGTGTCTGTGTGTGACACTGTCCAGATGATGGCTCAGAACCTGCGAGGTGAGATGAGTGCTGACTTGGCAGGAGCCAAACTGTGCCTGAGCGACAGCCGTTTCATCCAGGTTATCGCCAAGTCTCTGAGCATCAGCTGCAAAGAGGTGAGGACACCACCTATACACAGACCTAAACAGTGTGTCTGCCTATGTCTTCATCAAACAAACTAGTTCTTTTCATTTGGTCTTTTCTTACAACAAAGCATATTTCTGTATGATTTAGATTCATGCATGCAGTGTTAAAAGACTGTTCGAATACTTGTTTAATAGGTGAAGTTTATTAATAAATAATAAAAAACATACTGATTAAAGTTTATGGTGTATAAAGGAGCTGGAAGCCATCCGCGATGCCCTGACTCCTCCACTAGCATGTGCTGCTGCTAAGATCGGAGACAAAGAGGCGTTAGAAGCCATAAGGGAAATGGTAAGCAACCCTGCAGTCTCTACCACATGTATACAAAGTAATACTCATTACCTGTTTTTGACTGTTAGTCATGGATGTTATAACCATTTCATACACACACACACCCTGGGATGGCTTGTTTTAGGGTGTTGTACTGGGAAATGCCCTTATGTGCTGTTGGTCTTTGTGTATTATCGTCAAAATCAGATACATCAACCTTCTGTGGCTGTGACTAAACACAGCTTAGTGCTAAACCTTTATTCCACCGAGCAGTATTTGGCTTCTCTTGAAGTTTGTTCTGTGGGGTCAACACACTCAAGTGAACCTGTAACTCAGATGGTTGGACAACATTTATTCAGGGTCACTCTTCCTGTATAAGAGAGGCATAGGTAATGCACAGACGCATAGCCCAAAACATGAGGACAGACTGGTAAGGCAGCCCTGGAGTTGCCTCGCGGTCACATGCACATGTTTGTATGTGGCTAGACTGGTGTTCCGTCTCTGCTTAGATAACCCTACAGTTGCTAAGGACAAATCTAAAGTACTATCTTTAATTGACTTAATATCCTTTATGTACTATCTTTGTATCCTTATACAGTCACATGTACCTCAGAGGTGGTGTAATTCCTTTTTGTCTGCTTGTGATGGATTTGTTTTCAGTTTAATTGTAATTTATCCCCCCACTCCACATTTATTTGGTTCTTACCCTTGTTCTACCAGTGCTGCTGAACAGTAATAAGGGTTACAGAAATTGCACTGTTTTCTAAAGGTTGGGTTAGTTAGGGCTGGTGATCTTGATATATTTGTTACTGTCAACACATCCCCTGAAAAAAAACTAAAACCAGCAATGTGTTAGTCTGTCTTCCCCCCTGTGCCCACTGCCTATGAACCCATTCACTTGTGTTTCTACTGAAGACACAAACACAAACATATTCTTTTTAAAAGGCTTAGTAATTTGCTGGGTAACAGCTGGCCACTGTAGCGTTCCAAACAAGGAGAAAAACATTTGTTGATGCTCATTTGGTCTGCTGGTGAGTATTTAAGGCAGCACGGCGTATGTGGTATTGTAAACTGCAGTGCCCAGGTTCATTGTAATATAGAAACATGTCACCAGTGTAGCTGTGTTTCTTGTTGATGTGTTTTAATGGACAATAATGGAGCTGTTTGGCACAGAAGAAAAAAGCTATATCAGGCTTTGGCCTCACATAATACTCAATTCATTGTTGGCTTTGGTCT